GACACTTTCGATTTCTCCAAACTAGGATGTTTACCTTCTTTCTTGATTTTGCATGGTAAACATATTCTGCACCTGTTGTTGCAACTGTGCTCTCCTTTGGTAATTCGAAGCCAGAATTTTCATCAAATTCTCTTTCACAGACATTAGTTCAACCTTTCTCATTTCAGCTGCAGCTATCTCAGAATTACACAAATATCCATTGTTGCCTTGAAGTTCCACAAAGGTTGACTTGAGCTGCAAGAGAGATGAATTCAAGTTATTAGCTTATTATGTTGAAGGTGGGTTGTTTCAATATTCCATTGAAGATAAAGAAATTTAACAAGAAAAGTCCTACATTAGTAAAAAGCAACAAATTTATATGGTTGTCAGTAAGGCAAATCAAGAATGCTCTACTAAAAGCATGATGATTGCAGAATGAAGGCTTTAATTAGTTTCGCAATTTCATTTGTTTTGCAGCAGAAGTATAATGTTGTCTCAAGTCTCAGGAAGTGTTGTCCCAAATACATTTCAGCAAATAATTCAACCCCAACAAGTTGAAAAGAGGAGCATTTGAACACAAGAAGCTTCCAAGATAACACTGCCATAAAAAGAACTGTTAAAATCAGTGGAAAATTGGGAATGAGTTTGTCCTAAACCTAGTTTGGAACTGGAGATTTCTAGCAGAAATACACCTGCATCAGCCAAGACCCAAGAGTCTATATTGGAGAGTTTCTGCGTATAACCAACATATGCATTTGAACTAGATACGAATTTGAATTTCTGCACAAAAAGCCTAAAGACTTGTGCATCCTCAATGAGAAAATTTCTGTCCAGAATGCCTAATTACCATTCCAAGTTCAGATTTCAGAAAATTATACGGTGATTAGTGAGGTTCTCAACTTCACCTCATTTACTCTGTTCCTCAATCCTTCTACTTGTATCCGAGACTCCACCAGAAACCTCTCCGCATGTTTCTTAAACTTCTCCATCTCTATTCCTTTCAATTCGTAAAACCTGTCCTTCTCCTTCTCTACCTGCTCAAGCTCCTCCAACTCACTCTTCAAAACCCTAGATTCAACACAACACAATGCAACTTAATTCTAGGTAAAAACGAATAATCGAGATCTAAATTGAGATTAAATTTACTTCAATTGAGCGGAACTCTCATCGTATTTGGCGTATAGGTCTTCGACCTCGGACTTGAGAGTGGAGATTTTCAAGTTTTGTGATGCGATCTTTTGATCGAGCAACAAGCAGCGTTGTTCCATAGATCGGATATTAGCGAGCTTCGCTTCCAAATCCCGATACTTGTCCGCTTGCAGCTCCTTCTCTGCCTGTGACATAAAAGCAACAAATCAAGATTTCCTGGACAGAGAAAACTACAGTTTTCCTTCGATTTTCTCGAGAACCAAACAGGAAGCTAATCTTCCCTCCTCTGCAACTCTGAAGGTACCTGGAGGAGAGAGAGGCGCTGATTTCTACTTTGTTCCATTTGTTCAAGCCTTTCTCGGAAAGCAAAGGAAAGCGCCATTGCCGGTTCAAAGAGAGAGGGCTGGAGATTTACAATTTCGAAACGAACAACTTTTCGGGGAAGTTCGAAATCAGGGGTTTATAAAGGCGCCGAGTTTGGGTCATTATATGCTGGGGGCCATGCGTCCAATTCATAAGGTGATTCGGACATATAAATGGGCTCTTCAACTTTGGGTTCAAAATCCAAATCATTTTCTTTTCTAAGAATAGGACCTCCATTATTTTCTAAATAAATTTAATTTAAATGAAGTTTTATTATTATTATTATTATTATTATTATTTGAGTTATAAAATAAGAAATAACCCTCTCACATCAATTTATCCTCAAATAGTTTTATCCTTGGTTAAAGAAAGTGAAATTAGACTTTCAAATTTAAAGTTTTTTTTACTTAATGATTACTTGATTATTCAAAAAAATTTAAATCAAAACATTCACTTACAAGGTTTAGTTGTTGGTGTTTTCTTTTTTTTGAACTAGGGGAATTAAGAGTAAGTAATAGAGAATAGAGATAAAAGAAATCAAATTCTGATGGCGCAGGTTGAAACCCACACAGTAATCATTGGAATTACATACCAGAGTTAGTTATTGATATGTTTAAATATATCAATGTTGTTATATTTGAGAAGAGAAGGTTACAAAGATTTGTGAAGGATACCAAGCACCTATATAATATGAGGTATGTAAATCAACCATTTGTGATCCCAAATTTATGCGAACCAAAGACAAACCTAACTGTAGAAAACTTCAGTGACAAAAAGAAGGATATATACTTTACAATAGCATCTTCCTCAAATTATGCCAATTAAAGGTGCACTCTTATTAAGAAGCCTAATCATGACACCCGCATATAAAAAAAATTCCTATATTATAAAACTGCATTTGAATGCTCCATTGAAGCTCACTCGATCGACAATATGGTCTTTTCCTTTTCTTTTGGAGTTAGAATATGGCGTGGTTTCGATGGCAAAACTTTCTCCTGTAGAAGCATTTATATATTAAATTTAAAGATTAAATTTATTAATAAATAAGTGTTATTTTGTAACGTTTAACTTAGATGAGAATATAGTTTTTTCTTTTCTTTTGACTGTAGAATATGGTGTAATTTTGATGGTAAAACAATTTTTTAGAGAAGCATTTATATGCTAATCTCAAGAATTGGATTCACAATTAAATAAGTGTTTTTTTTTTTGTCATGTTTA